CCAGACCTTGAGCTGTGTAAAGGACCCCCAAAAAATGGAGCTGCTTCCCGTTCTCCCAGAACATTGATTTTTGTGACCACAGTTACAAACCGCCTCCAGAGAGCCTGTTCTGCACCAGACCAGTGGAGCCAGGCTGCAGCTAGAGCCCATCATCATCCTCATCTGGTTGTAAGTAGGCAATCTAGTATATTATTCGTGGCACTAAGCTCTAATTTACCTCACATTAAAGAAACACTATAGTCCCCAGAACCACTGCAGCTTAATGTAGTGGTTCTGGTGTCTATAGCCTGTCCCTGCAGGCCTTTTAATATAGCTGCAGCACTGCAGCACTGGCGTTAGTTAACATGGCAAATCATATGGGTGGGGCATTGTGATGTCACATGGGGAGGCGGCAAACTTTACTTTTGCCTAGGGCGGCAAAAATCCTTGCACCGGCCCTGGCTGGAGGGGGCTGTGTGAGCTGTGGCATGGTAGTTAGGGTGCCGTGCGGCCAGTACAGCTCACACAAGCAAACAGCTGATAAACTGGCCGCACGGAGGAAATGTGTATGTGTGACTGTCTGCCTGTGACTGTGTGTGACTGTCTGCCTGTAACTGAGCGTGTGACTGTCTGTCTGTAACTGAGTGTGTGACTGTCTGCCTGTAAATGTGTGTGTGGGGCTGCAGGGATTTTGTAGAAGGGGGCGGGGGTTTTGTATTGGGACAGGAGTCTTTATAAGGGGGGATAAGCAGGGATTTGTGGAAGGGGGTTGCGGGGGTTTTGTAGATGGGGCAGTACAGGATTTGTAAAAGGGGCAGGACAGAGGTTTTAGAAAGAGGGCTTAATAGCGTTTCTTTTGCAAAGTTTACAAATTGTAAATAAAAAAGAGAACCTTTAAAAATTTTTACAGGTTTTTGGGGAGGTGTGCCAGCACAGGATCCCCGGTGCAAAATACTCTAAGTACCCCTGGTTATTCCTTAACTTATCTCAATATCTCCCAGGCAGAGAGAGGGCGGGGTTACTGTAAAGCTGTATGTTGATTGGTTATTGTCTTTGTTTACTGTGGGAGGTCCTCTTGCAGGAGGATTTCTCATAAAAGCCAGTGTGTCATCAATAAACTTCATTCCTGTTACACCCTTCATGAAGTCTAGGCTCATGTTTGGGGAATATTCTATTTTCTAAGGAGAATCTTCTTGGAAGCTGCGTTCATCTACACTATTCCTCTACTTCCTACTGCAGTTATAATCACTTATGCTCAGCCATTGGGGACAGAATAGAAGACCGCAGTACCATAACCACTGCAGATCTTAACAGGGATTAAGGAGAGAGCGCAGGTAACTTGTTTTTCTTTGGTTTTTAATAGCATATACTAAACAATATGACATAATAGGCATAACTGAAACATGGTGGGATGAGACACATGACTGGACAGTTAACTTAAATGGGTACATGTTATTTAGGAAGGATAGGAAAAACAAGAAGTGTGGGGAGTATGTTTGTATGTCAACCATGAGTTAAAGCCAAATCTTAAGCAAGTGGAATGTGATGAGAAAAATGTGGAAACTTTATGGGTAAATATCTGCTTGGGGCAAAAGAAGGGAGATCAGCTATTGGTTGGGATATGTTATAAACCATCTAATGTCAATAATGATGAGGAACAACAGCTGTTTGAGCAAATTGAGAAAGCTGCTAATCTGGGTAACACTTTCATTATTGGAGATTTTAATAACCCGAACATAAATTGGGACAGAGGGACTAGTAGCTCAGCAAAGGGAATTAGGTTTTTGAACTTGTTATTGACACCTTCATGTCACAACTTGTACAAGCACCAACTAGAATGGACACTTGTCTGGACCTGGTATTATCAAACATTGCTGATCTTTTGACCAACATTCAAGTAGGTGAGCACTTGGGAAATAGTGATCATAATATAGTGTCCTTTGAAATAAAGTCAAATAAAAAAAAAGCACATGGGGTATACTAAAACATGTAATTTTAAAAAGACCAATTTCTTTAAGTTAAGGGCAGCTTTACAAAATATTGACTGGCATAAACTCTTTAGTGAAAAGAACACTGAGGATAAATGGAACATCTTCCAGCAAATATTAGACAGGTACATTTCTCAGTATGTACCATTGGATAATAAATATAAGAGAAAAAAATTGAAACCACTGTGGCTTAGTAGAGAAGTAAAACAAGAGATTAAAAATAAGAAAAGGGCATTTAAAGCATTTAAATCAGACAAATCAGATGCATCCTATAAAAGATATAAGGAAGCCAATAATGCATGCAAAAAGGCAATAAGATTTGCTAAACTTCAAAATGAAAAAATGATAGCCAAAGAGAGCAAAATCAACCCCAGAGCATTCTTTAAGTACATAAATTCTAAAAAAAATATTAAAAAAATTAAAGTGTAGGAACACTAAAAATTGAAATGGGGATGTTAGTTAATGAAGACCAGGAAAAGTCTGGAATTTTAAATAACTATTTCTCCTCTGTATATATTAAAGTAGAACCCATGCAATAGATGTGCAAATGATTGCTTCTAAAAACTTGCAGAATAATTGTAATTGGTTAACTCAAGACAAGGTGCTGCAGCAACTAAAGAAAGTTAATATACACAAAGCTCCAGGGCCTGACAGCATTCATCCACTAGTACTTAAGGAACTAAGTGTAGAAATAAGTGAACCTCTGTTTTTAATCTTTCAAGATTCTTTTCTTTCAGGAAGTGTTCAGGAGGATTGGAGGAAAGCAGATGTGGTTCCTATATTCAAAAAGGGTTCAAAAATCCTTGCCTGGAAATTGTAGACCTATGAGCTTAACTTCTGTGGCTGGGAAAATATTTGAAAGATTATTAAGGGATAATATTCAAGAATTCCTTGAGAAGAACATGGTTAACAGCAAAAATCTGCATGGTTTTATGAAGCACAGGTCATGTCAAACTAACTTGATTGCATTCTACGAAGAAGTAAGTGGAAGTATAGATCAGGATGTTGCAGTGGATGTGATCTATTTGGATTTTTCCAAGGTATTTGATAAAGTTCCACACAATAGATTAGTGTTCAAACTCAAGGAAATCAGTCTAGATGAAAATGCTTGTTCTTGGGTAGAACATTGGCTTAAAAACAGAGTACAGAGAGTTGTCATTAAAGGTAAATTTTCAAGCTGGACAGAGGTGTCAAGTGGTGTCCCTCAGGGTTCTGTTCTGGGACCCCTTCTATTTAACATGTTTATAAATGATCTTGAAAAAGTCATTGAAAGTCATGTTTCAATGTTTGCAGATGACACAAAACTCTGTAAATTAATACAATGTGAGCAAGATATTACTTTGCAGCAGAGGAATTTAGATAGGCTGGGGGACTGGGCACTCAAATGGCAGATGAAATTTAATATTGAAAAATGCAAAGTTATGCACTTCGACATAAAGAATGCACAAGCAACGTATACCCTTAATGGAAGCGAATTAGGGATAACAACGCACAAAAAGGACTTGGGAATTGTTATAGACAACAAACTAGGCAACAATGTGCAATGTCAATCAGCAGTGGCTAAGGCCAGTATGGTATTGTCATGCATGAAAAAGGGCATTCATTCTTGGGATGAGAATATAATTTTATGGTAAGACCACACATTGAATATTCTGTGCAATTTTGGGCACCTGTTCTAAAGAAGGATATTATGGCCCTAGAAAAAGTGCAGAGGTGGGCTACAAAATTAATAAAAGGAATGGAACATATCAGCTATGAAGAAAGGTTAACAAATTTAAACCTCTTTAGTTTAGAAAAATATCGCCTGAGAGGGGATATGATAACATTATACAAATATATTCGGGGTCAATACAAACCATTGTGTGGAAATCTATTCACAAACCAAACTTTACATAGGACACAAGGTCATGCGTTTAGACTGGAAGAAAGAAGATTTCATCTAAGGCAAAGGAAAGGTTTTTTTACTGTAAGAACATTAAGGATGTGGAATTCTCTGCCTGAAGAAGTGTTTTACAGATGTTCAAACAGTTACTAGATGCATACTTGCAAAAACAGAATATTCAAGGATATAATTTTTCAATGTAGGGTAATAACTGCTTGATCCAAGGATAAATCTGACTGCCATTCTGGGGTCAAGAAGGAATTTTGTTCCTAGCTTGTTGCAAAATTGGAAGTGCTTCAAGCTGGTTTTTTTTTGCCTTCTTTTGGATCAACAACAAAAAACAAATGTGAGGAAGGCTGAACTTGATGGACGCAAGTCCCTTTTCAGCTATGTAACTACGTAACTATGTACCTGATTTAAGTGTGTTAATTACATAATGCTTTATTGACAACTCCGAGAACCTTAGAATTGCATGTACAGTCCTATATAGACATGTAAAGTTATATACAAAAGCGTTAAACAGTACAAGCCACTCACTGATTCATACTGCTACATGAGATGATGTGTATATGATATTGCACCTTATGGAAAATTGTATACTGTACCCCCCATTTACCTCTGCCCCTTTTCTTTTCTTTTCTGTATCACCTTATTTTGTTTGCAACTCATTAAAAAAAACAATAACAATTGTGAAATTGGAAAAAAGAAAAAGTTAAATCCCACTTCAGTTGCTAAGCT